ACGCATTTTGTATTCTTCATTGATTTTACCATTGGGAAATACATACAAAAGCTCACTTCAACCATTGTATATATTACAAAAAAGAGCGATAAGAATTGTGCATAAGATGGGGTATAGGGATCACACCAATGTAGCTTTCATACAGTCTAAATTGTTACAATTTTTTGATTTAGTGGGATATAAGACTGCTGTGGTTATGTATAAAGCCAGGAACAGTTTATTACCTGGTGGAATTCAAAAACTATTTAATGAAAGGGATGGGGGATACAATTTAAGGGGTCAGTTAAATTTAAAAATTCATGCTATACGTACAACCAAAAAAAGATTTTGTATTTCCATAAGTGGGGTAAAACTATGGAATAATTTAAGTGTGGACATAAAAAATAGTAATAGAATTGATGAGTTTAAACATAAATATAAAGGTATGTGTCAATCAAGATATATGCAAGAACAGGCTTAATGATTAATTAGATGGAACATTGTGGGTGTGGTGTATGAATGTTAACACTTTGTAATAATTCTTTAGTATATTACTTGTGTGGTGTAAAAGATAATTATTTAAGAATGTAATTATGTAAGAATGTTAACACTGTTATATTCTTTTTTAGTATAATACTTGTGTGTGTAGAAGAGAATTATTTACTGCTTGCAAACCAATGATGGTAAGATGATGTCATGGGGTAGGACTGTCTGACTTCTTCCTACTCCATTCAAGCATGTACTAGGTATAAGCAAATTGATATTGGATTATGTGTAAAATTATGTGTGTTGTCATATCAACTGTCTTTACATGCTTGAAAGAATAAATCAAATCAAATCAACTATAATTTCACCATTTGCAGTATACAAAAGACTTTTGGAGGCCTGGATAGTTAAAAGGGGTGAAGTAGATAAAACATGGCCCCAAGATTTTCACAATCATGCTCACTCCCATAATTAATAGACTTTAAAGGCAAGAGTAAGCAAAGATGAACAGACCTTAAATGAATTAGAGTATGGGTCAGAGATGCAGAGCTCTATGTACATGCTGCCTTCCAGCGCTGTAGAAAAACGATATTTATATGATTTGTGAGCTCCAAAATATGTAACCTTTATAGTTTTACACATTTTATGTATCCTCTAATTCTTTTAAATTGTACTGACATTAATTATTGTATGTAAACTGCATCACTGAATTTGTAATATGCCTTAAAACTATATTTGAAATGAATTGAGGGCAAAGCATCCTAACAATGCTATCAAGCAGATTTTTGAAAATATATTAACCCTGTAAAGCCCAACATATCAAAAAATACCCAGAACATTCTAATTTTTTGGAACTGAGATGTTTATTAAACTTTTTAACAAAATCCAAAATAAAATTCAAGATTCACGATTTTTATTTGCCATATAGACAGACAGTCTAGGCATACAGGAATAGAGGTGCCATATTATTTAGATTATTTCTATTTCTTCATGTATCACATTTGATATATGAGACATTTTTGGTGATTTTTTTTTTTTTTTTTTTGCTCAGAAACCTCACGTATCAAATATAATACGAATGGTTTTATAGGGTTAATGAAGAATATATTATATATAGCTGGTAAATTTTCTTCTAATTATATATTCACTTTTTAACTATTTCAGTTTTAGTTTGATTGTTTTGTACCTGTAAACTAAGCTTACGAAGAGTCCTTGAATGTGGCACCCGTCTTTTAGTAAAACAGTAGGTGGAGTCTCAGGCGAAAATACACGGGACATAGGACACTGTTATGCACAGAGTTAAAGAGACAGGTTGTTCAAGTGCAGCTACAGTGACGTGTATTTCCAGATTTTTTCGTAGCCTGTTTTGGTTTACTTAAAACTTCCGTAGTGCAGGACTGGAACAGCCTAGCTCAACCCTCATCAGCCACCAGCAGAATGGACGCAGCTCCGGGATAGAGTGAACCATGTCTTCTGCTGTTTTCTTGTCACTTGTGTTGGTGTTGTCGTGTCACCAGCTGATCACCTCGGGTTCCTAGGTCCTCAGGAACCAGCCTGCTGTCGGATCGGACGGTCTACATGCAATTTATTAGCCATAATGCTGCACAACAGCGACGATGAGGTTGGTGTCATGAGGCTGATAAATGTCATAAGGAAGGCATGTTGAATGTCACGTGTGTGTGATTTGTTTATGGTATGATTTGAAGCCGTCGGCTGTCACGTGATTTACAGGAGCCCACAGGCAGGAATGAAGTTTGCTTTGTTAGAACGCGCATGTTCGCATTAGGGCCGAGCTTTACCTGTCAGCACCTTCCCCATACAGGTGGACAGACAGTTTAACTTGGTGGTGTTTGTCCACAGCGAGGGCATTGCGTTTCCCGACATTTCTTATGGTTACTGAAGATACTTCTGTAACCTAACTATAGTATTTTCATACTAGTTTACAGTCTGATAGATGAATTCCTAGACATTTTAATCCAACATTCATCTATACAAATGTGTAATTCCCATCACAGTTTACCAGACCTCATCAAAACTGGGCTACCATCCAGGTAAAGCTGATGTTTTGACTGGTGCCCCAGACACTCGGGCCCTAGACCCCAGGTCCACTGTGTAGCAGGCACCCTCACCTGTTGGTACTGCGCTTAAATGTTACATGTGTTAAATCAAATTTCAGCTGACTGTTTTCAGAGTACTGCTTAGTTTCCTCTAGGCAAAATATATCCAAACTATCAATTGTCTGTAGAGAGTGTTGCATAGTATAGGCTCTATTCCATTATAAAGCCTCATCCGGTTCTTTCAAACCAGGAACTCCGAGGGACGACTCAGACCACTTGAGTATATAAAAAATATAACCGTGCTGGTTTATTCAAAGAGAAGCATTGCTATACAATATTAATTCTTTCTGGGCTGTCGAACCGTGACGTCACCTGATATGCCAGCTTGGCAGCTGAGCAGAGCAGTAGACAAAACATGAAGAAAATAATGTGTGTGGCTGTTGTTTTCGTGGTGTGTATCTAAAACAATTTGACATAACATTACACATTAAGACAAATATTATGGTTACTTTTACCGTCATAATAACATTCGTCCCTGACGGCAGACTTTCTGCCTTAACTGTCCTTGCATTTAACAGCCTGAGGAAGACATCCTGCTGCACTAAACATCTTCTAATACAACAGATCTCTAATCCATATCTATCTAACTAAGAAATTACCTAACAATAGTGTATACACAGTGGAGAGTAGGAGAAGGTAGGGGGTCAACAGGAGTCCAGTGAGCTGTTTGGTACCACAACTCACTAGGACATTATTCTGGTCCTCCTCAGGTTTTTCACAGTACTTTTAATGTGTGCATATAGTTTGTTTATTTGTTTCTTGCACGTTGATAAATGGATATAATGATGAGAGAAATGTTTAGCGTTTGAATCGGTCCATCATTATAGTGCCAACGCCTGTAGCAACATGTTGGAGGGAAGTAGTAAGACTGATGCATCTTTCTTTGTGTTCAGTGTGACCTTGTGATGAACCTGAGCGCTGCAGACCGCTGTGCGTTTGTGAAGAGCACGCCAGACTGTAACATGGAAGATGGCTTTATCAACTACCTTCATGTGGCTTTCTGTCTGCTGCCTCCTAACCTCACACCTCTCACCATCACCCTCTGTGTAAGACAGTTATAATGAAACTGCAGCTCAGCACCAGCTGGGCTGTTGAGGAAGTCACTGCAGGAGAACTGGGTTTTATCAGACTTTCACTTTCTCAGGCTCATTTCCCTCTTTGCTAAATAATAGATTTGCCTAAGAATGTATGAATGTCTTGAATTCCCCACTTTGCAACAATCAATCTGTGGTGCCAAAATTAGCATGAAACATTTCTAAACATGTTTTGGCAGTGTAGAAGATGAATTGTCTGCATTACAGAATAGGAACAATAGGTTCACTGTAGTCCATCAAGGCTGTGTTAACCAGGGTCAGCGTATTTAAACTAATTCTTGCTTTTAGAGCATTTCTTCATGTACAGCAGATTCAAGCAGCACTTACTCTGTTTGAGTTCAAGTTGGGACAAAATAGTCTGAACTAACTTTCTTCTGCTTCTCCATAGCTTTTATGGCTGCTTTTTCTGTTTGTCATTCTGGGACTTGCAGCGTCAAAGTTGTAAGTGTTTCTCATGTTGCCAGTGTCAATATTTGTGTCCCTCTGATGAGTCAAGGCCGTATCCAACAGCTCATATAAATCACTCACTCTTCATTCATTTGTTTCAGCTCTGGCCAATGAATAACTTAGTAACACACAATAACAGGCCCTGTTCATGTCCTTAGTGTGGTCAGCTCAAGAGTCATGTGATTGTTTTTCATTGTTTCACTAGAGTTGTAACGATTGAGATTTTCTCAGATAGCACAGCTTATTCTCCCTATCTACCCCACCCACCCTCACTTCACACAGAACCCTAGTGCATTACAGTGCTGTATTTTCAATACAACGTCCTCAAAGTACTGAGAACATTTTGTGGAAACTCAGATGATTTTTCTGGTTTCTTTTTTCATGTCACTCACAGTTTCTGTCCCAACCTGTCAGCCATCTCCACCAGTCTGCACCTCACTCACAATGTGGCTGTATCCTTCATTTGCTGTATTTCCTTTGACATAGTTTTCATGTAGTGTGTCCAAACTGGTCAAACTGCTGAGTCCCCAACTCAGTTCCTCTTTCCACGTGATTTTTGCCATCTCCTATTACTTGCTAGAACTTTGTCTGTGCTGTTAAATTATTTTTTGTGAGGAATGTTTTCCTTTACTGGTGTTTGTGCTGAGGGTGTGACTTTTCTGGCTCTTGGTAACGGAGCTCCTGACATCTTCAGCGCCATGGCAGCTTTCTCCCACCCACACACTGCTGGCCTTGCTGTCGGAGCCTTATTTGGTAGGCACAGACTCTCTCTCACACACACTAATATAAATAAATAAAACAAAACAAGCCTTAAAACATGAAAACTTTGTTGGCCTTTGGCTTCATTGTGCATACTTTCTCTCTCCCTTCCTCCACAGGAGCTGGCATATTTGTTACTACTGTAGTTGCAGGCGGCGTGGCGCTGGTCAAACCTTTCACTTTGGCCTCCCGCCCTTTCCTGCGTGATGTCATCTTCTATATGGTTGCAGTGTTTTGGACATTCCTTATTCTGTTCAGAGGAACCATAACACTGGGAGAAACACTGGGTACATATACACACATGCACATAAAGCGGTGCACTAAATTTACACAGCCAAAGCCCTAGCTGAGATGTCCATTATTTTCTTTCCATCATCAGTACTGTATTACTACTTCATTCATTTTCTACCGCAGAATAAATGAATGAATTTAACACATTCATTTTTGTTTTTGTCACCTTTTAAATTGTTTACGTGTACTGTTTATAGTCTGCAGACACACAGTAAATGTGTGTGTGAAAAGACCCACACCAGCATTTTCAATGGTTTTCTCTATTTTATTGTAAACAGAAACATGCTCAGCGTATCCCCAGTGAACATCCAGACCTTCATACATTTTTAGAGCTGTGATATTCACAAGGCAATGATGCAACTGCTGCAAAATCCACTAAGCGTTTGAGTAAAAAAAAAAAGATTTAGATTTTTTAAAAATCTGCATCTGGATTTCAATGGGTATTTTTTTTTCTCTGAATGTGTTAAAAGTCAAGAAAATCCCCCTTGTTTATAGAATGTTCTTCATTATCCCCTCCCCATTTTTATTTCCACTCATACATTTGACTGCACATACAGCCAGTATTTATACATACTGTAAATGTGATATTTTGAGTTTCACTGTGCTTAATTTGCTTTTTCTAGGGTACCTGTGCCTCTATGTGGTGTATGTGTTGACTGTTATAATCAGTGCATGCATCTACAACCGGCAAAAACATTCTCAGAACACAAGTGTCCAGAATGTTGCTCATATCCCAGGTTAGACACACACAGACAAAATAATAAAAATGTGTCCACAATTTCCAATGATATATATTTGTTTTTTTTTGTTTTTGTTTTTTTTTGCAGAGGAGTATCACTCATCCGATTCATCTGATGATTTTCCAGTATGTCTCAGTGATAGAAGCATCCAGCAGGAGTATGGTAGGAAAGAAGCACCGTCCCGTGAAAAACATTATAATCTAACATACACCAGTGGCCTGTAACACAAAGCGAGATTAGTGGCTTACCCAGCTAACTTTCGGCTCAGCTCAGGTTTTCCAGTACCATGAAACTGACTCACTTTTAATCGGGGTTGATCACCATGGTAACTTGTGATGCACGGCTAACCCATTATGGGGCAAGTTAACTACAGAGGGACCTTTGGACTTTCCTGCATGCAGGATCATAACATGCATGTGCGTTTGTTTCAGAGTCAGAGTACAGACCGCTTCTGCCGTACTCCGAGTCCACGAGTCAGATCCTGCTGAGCTCTCTGAACCCAGTGGACAACAGGAATTGGAGGAGGAAATCGTGGAGGTGGAGAATGCTCAAAGTACTGAAGGTGTGTGTGATGGTAGATGGATATAAGAAGCAGTATAAAGACCTGAATGCATGGATGAATCTGATTGGCACACCATGTCAAAGCAGTGAAATTCCATTTAAAGCTGCTGTACTGTAAATGATCTCACACTTTTCCCCCACTGAGCAGACACCTGTAGAGGTCCTACTGCTGCTCTGTGTCCCCATAGTCGACCCTGATAAAGAAGACAAGAACTGGAGACGCCCACTGAACTGTCTTCATCTGATCACGGCTCCACTGGTGTGTGTGTTGGCCTTCCGCTCAGGAATGTGTAAGTACATCACCTTTCATGATAAAGGCAGCATAAAGTACTGTGGCAGCTTTCTATGATTAAATCAACACCCTGCACCTTTGTTTATCTCCTTTTCCTCAACTAATATCTAGATGGAGATTATATGATCGAAGGGCAGTTTCCACTCTGGCTGCTAACTCTTCTGCTGGGGCTTTTCCTGTCTGCTATTGTCTTCTGCACCACCACCAATGACTGCCCTCCTAAATATCATCCAGTAAGTGTTTACAGAGATAAAACAGGGGTAGCTATTGTTCAAAATATTCAGGGCATGTACTCTTTTGAGGGAGTGGAGTGGGTAGAGTTAGGCGAGACAAGACCTGAAGGTAATACACCTTCAGCTGGTACAGCTAAATGCTGATGTTTAGCAGGTATTGTGTTTACCATGTTAACCGTCTTAGTTTAGGGTGCTAGAATGCTAACATTTGCTAATTGTTACCAGAGCCCTTAAGCTAGAAGAGTTGTGACACTGAAGGATCAAAAAGGGCAGCAGGTTACATGACTTATGTAGCTTCAAATAGTTCCAAACAGCTGAGTCTGATCCATTGTTTTCTGTAGGGAAGTGTTTAAATGTTACGCCATGTCGCTGACATAAAATGTCACAAGTCTAATTACTGCTAACGATTTCAACTTCTTACTCTAGAAGATAGCAGCCAAGTCAGTGTAACTGTGGTGCTCCTAAATGTTTGGAACTATACAACGTTCAATGTCCCATGTTCCACTATTACAGTAAAAAGACAAACAACCACACACACGCGCATGCACTCCTATGGGCAATTTAGAGACACCAATCAACCTAAGCTGCATGTCTTTGGACTGTGGGAGGAAGCCGGAGTACCTGGAGAGAACCCATGCAAGCACGGGGAGAACATGCAAACTCCACACAGAAAGGTCCCAGGTGGGGCCCAAACCCGGAACCTTCTCGCTGTGAGGCAACGGCGCTAACCACAGTGCCACTGTGCTGCCCACTTTCCTTCTTAATCCACTCTATTACTAAATGCAAAGTTTGGCTGGCTGGGGAATGTAATCAGTTCTGCAGGTATTTGGTCAAATATAATGTGTTGGACAAATGCAAAAGTTTCATGGTAATCCATCAAATAGTTGTTTGAGATGGCTAAAAATACTGTATATTCTTCATTAAGGACACTTCACACCCTGGGCGTTCACTCTATGAACTGCTGCCGTCAGGTAGACGGTTCAGAGCAATCAAATCAGGGACCACTAAATTCAAGAATAGTTTTTACCCAACAGCAGTTACCACACTCAGTGCTGCTAAAATATAATATGCCTGTGTGTGTGAAGGGGGGCATGAGAGGTCTATTGTTTATTTCTTTCTATTATATGGTCTTATTTCATGTTTTTCTGTATTGCTATACCAAATGGAGGTCCCGCTAGAATTTCATTGTATGTGTTACAATGACAATAAAGGATTATCTTATCTTATCTTAATTATAATTAAGCATTAGAATCACCACTCTTAAAACGTGTATAAAACCTGATTGGGTTAATGAAGTGTGATTCATGATGTGATGATGAAATCATTCTGATCCTTATCTGTTTTTCTCTTCAGGTGTTTGCTCTTTTGGGCTTTGTGGCGAGCGCAGTGTTGATCAGTGCAGCAGCCTCTGAAGTGGTCAGTCTTCTGCACATGCTCGGTGTAGTGCTGAGTCTCAGCAACACTGTGCTGGGTCTGACTTTGCTGGCCTGGGGCAACAGCACAGGAGGTGTTGTTTCTAAAACTAGTTATTTTCCCAGAACTACACAAATACTATACGCATGTGCTTGATCTAACATGGCTTCTTTGGTTCTCTCTTTTTCAGATTGTTTTGCTGACATCACACTTGCCAGACAGGGTTACCCAAGGATGGCCATATCTGCCTGCTTTGGAGGCATCATTTTCAGTATCCTTGTTTTCATATGAGGGCATGTGCATTAGAATATAAACTATTTATGGTAGAGCAGCGGCTGTTAATGACTGCCTCCTTGACTGCATGTCCTTCAGACATGCTGATTGGAGTGGGCGTGGGGTGTCTGGTGCAGATGATTACAACACACACTGATGTGCAGGTAATGTCTTCAGACACACAGATCATGAGTTTATAAGTCGGGTCAAACGAACAGAGAAATACAGAAATGGTAGTTGCATGAGGCAATTTTGGAATCATAATGCATCTTTCTCTTTTTCCTCAGTTTGAACCAGGGGGTTTGTTGACGTGGATTCTTGCAGGATTTCTGGGTTTGTCTTTGGTCCTGTCCTTTGTTATTGTTCCATTTTGCCGGTTCCACTTGGGTCGGACCTACGGGATCTTCCTCCTCATCTTCTATGGCATCTTCCTTGTCATTGCATTGCTCACAGAGTTTGGCAAGATCCACGTATAGAAGTGACACTGAGCTCAGTCTGAAATAAGGGATGTTCTCCCATAATGCAAACTGACACACTGGAACAGCTACCCTGAGTGTAAGGAAATGTCATCTTTTACCTGTGACATTGATGCACTGTTTATGCAAGAATCAGCAGTACACTTACCCAGAGTCATCCTGTGGCAACATGCAAATTATAGGTATAGTCAGTGATTCTAATTCATTACACATTTTGGGATATTAATCTAAATGTTCCTCACATTTCTCTGCCTGGCCTTTCAGTTTGTGCACTGGATAAACCTCAGGTGGCGGTGTGATTTGCTTCCTCTGTAATAGGTGAGGAAAGGATCTGAGTCAGGCCAGCTAATTTTGCGGGACAGGTGGGTTAGTTATTTCCTATCATTAGGGTAAGTGGCTAACTTTTGGGGTAATGTTGTATATAGCAAGCTATACATATAGCTTGTTTGCTATATCAACTTTTCCCGGGACACTGAGCTAAATTGCTAGTTTGCAACTGTATGCGGTTGGTCTGACTTCAGCTATAGCAGCAGGAGATTGTTGTGAGAGAATAAAAATGGAGTCTGTGGCTGGTTAGCTACATGCTATGCCCCAGTTGCTAGTATTCTGACATGCTCCCTTTGACATCGGCTCTTTCCCAAGTGATTAGTATTGTCACCGTGGTCGTGCGTGCTCATGAATTATCAGTGTTGTGGTTACGAGCTCCTAAATGAAACCACTTGTGGATTTGTGATCATAATGTAGACATTCTTTTGCTAGAATTGCTGACTATACCTTTAATAACAAGCTAGGAGTTTCCTGTCAGGGACACAAGCTTCTTGCTTGTGCAGGCTGATTGTACTTTTTGATTTTGGAGGGAAAAACTCTGGCTGCAGAAATGTGTACTTTTAAAACACAAGCTAAATGTACTGTAAATCAAAATGTTAATGATCTTCTACAAAACTGCTGTCCGATAATTAAATCAATGTACTTGACAATTTTAACAATTTATTAAAATCCATTATTAACTAACTCAAATACATTACAGAATAGGAAGTTATTATATAAAAGTAAAATACTTTTAGTCAAACAGTGAAGTACAGAAGAGGATCAGGGCCATTGTTAAAAACAAAAAACAAAAAAGTAAGTTCTGACTTTAAACTCAGAATTCAGATTTTTTTTCTCAGAATCCCAACTTTAAAGATGATTTCTGAGAAAGCTGAAATTGAGTTTAAAGTGAGAATTCTGACAAAAAAGTCAGACCTTAAATTTTTGGCCCGAACCCTCTTCCGTAGTTACCAAATAACACTGTAATTGCTTTGAGCTAAGAGGAGTGTAAATGTTTATGCTTTTGGTCTTCAAAGAACTTAGTAGTGTCTGTGTTAATATTCATCAGATGAACCAATAAACTAAGGCAATAGGTTAAGTACTACATGAAGTTATGAAAGGTCTACAGCAGTATATACTACGCAACATATTGCAGTAGTACATGCTCCCTTTTAAACGTCTGCTGCGGTCTTGCAAAAAGGCAACACTCCTGTCCAAGCAACAGACTTGTAATGCTGGTCTCTGTCTGTAGGAATGGCTCCAGAAAAGAGTTGTACCCAGAGTGGTTTGCCACAGTGGGAAACCGAGTGTGATGTAGCTGAAGAAGACCTGGCGTGAAGGGTTTTCTAAGCATTAAGGAAATGCTGAGATGATGTGTTAGGTAACACCTGCAAAGTGCGTTAGTTTATGCTGTGAGGTCCAGTCTGTGAGTTGAGCTGAGGCTCCGGGAAAGGAAATGGGTCTGAGACGGGACTTTCCATTTCCCGCTCCATGCTTTGGTCTTGATGCAGGTTTTCTCTTGAATATTCTGCATACCACTCCTGAAGAAACAAGATGTGATAAAGGTCAGGAGGCCATTGCAGCCCAACTACACTCATGGTATTCAGGATTATTTCTTCAGTTTTTTTTTTACCTGCATCTCTTCCTCATACATTTTCATACTGAGGTCACTCTTCGTTCTAGACCTGCGACCTAGGTAGACCAGAGATGTGCGCTGTACACACCAAAGTGAGTTAGCTGGGCTTATGTGAAGAGTGAAAAGTGTGTGCGTGTGTGGTGTATGCATGTTCTTACTCCACTCCTGTCCATAGCTTGTATGACAGCCTGTAAAGAGCTGAGGGAGGATGATCCCGGACACATCTGTTTGTGCAGTTCCAGGGTGGCCAGCGCTTCATCACGACTCACCTCTACTTCAAACACTATCCCATTCTCATCTAAAGCATGTACACACAGACACAACCAGGATAGGATGATTCACTGTCTAATTTTTATGCCACGCTCTTCTTTAACACAGTACTGGAAGCTAAATGTTAATCAAATATTTTAGCTTTTTATCTGTGCAAGAAAGAGTGAAGATATTCCATAATGCTAAGTGCTTTTGTTCTAAAATGCTACACATTTACACACAATATCCACTCCAGATACAAATACACACTCAGTCCCACCCTCTGGGTTCTCCAGTGGCTCCCGGTTCTTGCGGCTGTAGTTCATGCGGAACACAAATGCATCCAGAATGAAAGCCACAATGATGGTCATTACCACCTGGAGGGTAGACAGACAAAAAATATCACAAGCTGCTTGCTCACATTCTCACACACACACACACACACACACACACACAGATAAATATGCAGTGTATACTAGCATGACACATCACACTTGTGCACATATGACAACACAGGCCTCACCATGGTTACTATGTAAAAGGTCATGAAATACAGACGGCTCCAGTGGCTAGTCATAGAGGTCACGCCTTCCTGTAAAAGAGAGGAAAAAATTCAAGTCAAACGACGACACCCAGTGTCACTAAGAATGCGGGTGGTGACTGATGAAAGACAGCACACATACAGTAAATGACATGATCTTACCATGGTGATGTACCAGTTGTTGACCACAGTCAATTCAAACAGCGTCACTGGAAAAGAAACAAGAAAGTAATCCATGCATTAAATAAAACCAAACAGCAAAACAGAAAAATTATGTAAACTATTTTATTTTTCTAAAAACTACAGTGTCCTGCTTTTGCAGGAATTTATTTAGACTCCTTTTACAAATTAAACTACAGACTTGTGACCTGTTTTTTAAGATTTACGACTTCAGTAGAACAAAGAGGCTTGGGGACAGAGCCACAGACAGGCCAGGGGAGGGCCTTAAGTACAGAGAGCCAAACTAATGGATCTCTGGTTTGGTTCTAGTCATGGGATTTGTTGACAATAAAAAATATACAATATTGCCAGGCTTATCCTTTAAAAAATTGAAACCATTTACCAAAGCTGCTGAGAATGTTGTTGAAGTTGTTGAGATAATAATAGCCTTCTTCCAGCACTGTTTTATTGCCATATGTGATGTTAATCTGTCTGTAGGAGTCTGCCACTGTGCTGGTACTGAGGAAAAAAGACGTAATAAAGGGTGATTAGTGGAAATAAACATAATCCTATTGTGTATAATTTATTGGAGAATGTGGAAAACCACCGTTAATGCCAATACATTCTTATCAGTAAATAAATGGAATACTGAGATATAAACTGCAGCTGAGTGTAATTTTTGATTACTACAGTTGATGACCATTATGACTCACTTGCAGCAGTTGGGGTAAACCACATCTGCAAAGAACTCCATTCCCACAATTGCAAAGGAGTAGTAGAAAATGATTAATGTCAAGCCCAGACTGGCCATCCTGGGGAAGAGCTCAAACATGGTGTCCAGCACATTACGGAACCTCTGCTTTATCTTAAACAACCTGTGAGAGAAGATAGACCAAAATTTAACTGGAAAAGAAGATAACGGGTATCTTATGAAAATTTTCACTCTAATCTTAAACGGTAAAATCAAAAGCACACCGGAGCAGCTGAAGTGGTCTGAGCACTACAATAAAGTAAAATGGCTCCATGTTGAAGGCAAGTGCAATCAGGCCCAGGAAGGCAAACACTGTCACTGAGAAGTCAAACCTGAACAAGTGAGCAAAGAAAGGATCATTACCAACAATACAGATCCAGTGTTTAGTACATGCTCAAATACGTTTTGTCTTTTCACAAAATGGCTACAGGTTCATTAGTCTATGGATTTTTGCAGTCTTGCCCTCACTGGGTTGTTCAGCATGCATCATTTTTATTGACTGCGTCACTAAATTTACAAGTCAGAAATTTTGAATTCAGTAATAATGAAAGCAATTAGTACTCACAGATTCCACCCAGAGCTGAAATAAGCCATTGGCCCCAAACCTGTTATTTTCAGCAACACCTCTACACCATAAACTAAAATGGTAAAGATATAAGTGTTAATATGTGTACATGTGCAGGTAAACAACTTTAATTCATTCTTGACTTCTGTGATCAGTTTTAGTTAGCCTACTCACTGGTCAGGAAGACGATGTAACTCCAGGGAACAAATCTGGACCAGGAAAATCCACCTGCAAGAGGAGAGGAAGGTGAAAAGACCTGTAGCACAAAACCTTTTCCTTGAGTATGTGTACGTTATTGGGAGAGATCGTACTGCTCAACGTGTACGTCTCCACGAGGATCCACACACCATTGAAGGCCACCACAACATCTGCATCACAAGAACAAGTTGAAAGGTTTACTACAAGTGAGAGAGAGAGAGAGAGACTCAGCTGGGAGAATGTAAACGATGACACCTACACATGACATATTGGAAGGCCTTTGACGTCACAAGCAGGTTGATGCCTGGAAGAAGAGAAGAAAGCACTGAGGATAAAGAACTGAGAAACAGATCTGTTTAGTTTAATAAACGAGGAGAAAGAGAACTTACCTTTGAAAATGAGGAAGGTCGTGTGTGGAAGGTCATCAAACCAGTGTTCTCTACTGCGTCGTGCCTAAACAACACACATATATACAGCACATGAAAAACAGCCAAGGACTCAAAATAAAGTGAATTATAATTTCACAGTACACATGTAAAGCTACATACCTTCCATTTAAGGCCAGTGACCTCATAGAAGTTATAAAAGTCCTGTGGACTGTAGCAGAACAGGCATAAAAACGTAACAGTGCGATTAACTGCAGAATAATTTAATGAAAAACTGTGTGTCAGTTACCTGAGCATAGGAGCCCCTGAGGTGTTAAGACCTTAATACGTGAGGAAGCTTTCTCTTGCAGACATACGTGGCCGATAAAAACGCATCAGGCCATCAAACTGTTTGAAAGAGATGCCCATCGGCCTCTGGAGCGAGAACAATAGACAATGACTGAGTAAGCACTTGATATAATAAACACTTTGTACCAAATATACAATACAGAACACTGAGGTCGTACCTGTCGGCTGACTAGCAGCTGAAAGGCGTGGTCGATAGCGGAGCGTTTGTGAAGCAACAGAGATTTAAACTTCATCTTCTCAACATCATTAAATGTGTCAAACACCACTGCCAGGAGCTGGAGGGAAAAAACAATGCAAGGAAGCTGGTGAGTAATCATGTAAAAAGGCTAATGGGAAGACTGGCATCATTATAATAGGGCTAAAACTGAGTATTTCTCATATCCAGAAATTATCAAACTCTTGAAAACAAGGTTGATCAAACTGCTGAAAACAAGGTTATTTGTACCAGGTTCATGATGAAGTACAGCTCTATGGAGAGGTAAACAATGAAGAAGATACAGGACCAGCGGTTCTTGGAGTATGCTGGCATCATCACATCAGGGAAACTACAAGGAAGAGCAAACCAGGAGATAGCAAATGAAGGCTATGGATTTACCTGCAACACATCTACTGTAAGACGGCAAAAACATGAAAGCTGAGCTCTAAATGTAGGCTGTACTGCTTGTATGCCATGTGTGTAAAGATACATGAACAGTTCCACATGAAATGCTGTGCTTACTTTGCTGTGGTCAGCATAACAAAGAGACTGACGAGGCTGTTCTCCAGAGTGTTGAAGTACTGCAGTGAGAGAAGAGTGTTTTAAGTCTGGAAAAATGACCACAGACACAAAACTAGCACAAAGAGAACTACCACCCAGCCTTACACAACACAAAAACTAATTTCAGACATGCTAAAGACAACATACCGGGTCAGCAGTGTTTGGAGAGAAGAGGCAGAAACCTGCAGGAGACAAGAGGCTAATCAACACAGAAAACGCTGGTGCCTCTGAACACAACAGATGGGTCACCCTTAACTATTTTGCAAATCTCAGTAAAAGAAAGCAGCAACATTTAATATGCATTAAATTAATTCTTACCCAAGATAGCAAATATAACCATGAAGAAAAGAAGCAGCATGAGGATGTCAATAAAAGGTGGCAGGGACTGGAAGATCTGGCGCAAGTTTCTGATTGGACAAGAGAAACAGTTTAATCAGTGGTACCTGTATGTTCAAGGGGCAGGAAAAAAATGATTATGGTAAAAGTCAATCATGATTATTTTGGTCGATACTGAGATCATGATTATTTAATGTGGTTACTTGTTGACTTTGGTAACATGCATTTACTGAACTTAAAAAAAGCTTGTCTTTTATAACAGTGGGTTTTCTTGAACTTTAAATATGATTCAGTTTATTATTTCATTTATCTAAATGTGACTGTCAGTTCAGGGGAAATTACATAATAAGTTATATTTATATATTTGTAAAATAAATAAAACTTTGCTACTTCAGGTTAACAGTATTGCCTGTCATAACAAATAATAGCTCAGTCTGCCGTGTTCACTGCAACACAGCCACATCCATCTCTCTCCCTCTGGCTTATAACTACATACTGTCATTTTTTGTTTTAACTTGTTCATAACAATTTGTGATTAGCCTAACAAGCTTGCTACATTAACACAAATAGGCAGTGGATGATGGACTACAAAGCAAAGCTGAAATTATCAGCTAGTTTATGCTCATTTAATGGGCGTTTTGATAAATTACTCTTTGGAACTTTTTTCTTGTGGAGGTTTTATTGCACATACAGTAACAAGCTTAGATGTTGTCACCTTGAGTAATGTTTCACTTCACTAGATGCGAGCAAAAAAATGCTAGCCCTAGGTGTGCTGGATTTATAATATAAGATCAAATGAGAGCATCACAGCACAGTCAAAAAGTGCATTCTCATGCACGCTTTCAAGGCAAATGGAGCATAAACCCTAACTCAGCTTGCAACAGATTTTGTCTAGCGTTCCGTACCTGCGCACAGCACCACAGTATCTACAGTCCACTAGAAATATGGGTCTGAGAGCTCTGGTCACTCGCACATGAGACGTCTGTCTGACCAAAACCACTATGGCCTCCACAAACTGTAGCAGCAACACGCACGTCTGTACAAGGAGAAGAGACAACATGAACAACATACACTAGTGGAAGCTCGGTCTTAAACTAGCAAGCAGGATGACTGCATTCCTTGTGAGAGCAAGCACCCAGAATGCTAAAGTGACTGACCCTGACCTCTGACCTCCCTGCAGAGCAAGGCAAGATGTTTATGTAAAACTACTTTATTATTAAGCCATTAAAAAGTATTCATCATGTATCAGTTACCTTCACCATGGTCCTCTTGTGTCGTATGAAGGTGTGGAAGCCTAACCAGCGGAGCTTCATGCATAGCTCAAATGCTACCATAACCAAAGCCAGCAGCTCCAGAGTGGCATGGACCTACAGAGGTATCACACACACAGCAGTATTTTTCAACTGTGCATACAAGTGTGTGTGTGTGAGTGCATTGATGTGTGTGTGTTTTCACTCACGTAAACATCCAGGCGCAGTGAGGGCACAGCAGGAGCCTCACACAGCGACAGCATCATCAGCAGCAGGCCTGTCACCAGCTCCATCATGTAGAACAGGTGGTTGTGGACAAACAGGTACGCTGCCAGCGCCTTTGGGTTTCGAGGGTGGCTGAAAAATTTATCATTGTTCTCTCCTTCCTATGTATGAAATTCAACAGACGTTTATACACCACATACGGTAGCGTGAGCATTTTAAATGTTGTGCTTCTTCCAGATTCAACTGTTGCCACACCATTACGGCGCAGTATCTGTGGTCTGACAAACACGGCAAGTAGAAGTCTGACATACTGGTACGGTGAAACACTGAAGCCAACGTTAAAGGCATTTACAGTGTAACTGACAAGCTTCAGTAATTGCTTCATTGCCTTAATTTCTGGAACAGAACCATTATTAATGTTATGAGGACCACCTGTGCTTTTCCTGCTATGATAAGTCATTTTTGTGTTTCTGAGGGGGAACATGACTGGAAAAGTCTGGGAAACACCGGTTTGCCTATTTTGTCTACACTCGATGTCAATGTCTACAAAGCTTGAGCCCCTTATCATAATTCATCATAAACTGCAGATTATAATCTGGACGTCTGTGGAGATGCACATTCATCTGGGTCATGGTATATCTGATGTAGAGCATGGATCACGGTGCATACTTCTGTCCGATCCCAACCGGTGCCTGAGAGTATAGTGTCCAAACCCAGCCTAGACCAGACAAGTTTATAGTATATAATGTCTGAATTTAACCCGAGCCTGATGCAGTTGACTTTGGGCAGTGCGATAAGGGGAAAAACCCTTATCATTAAAGGAATCAGACATTTGAGTGCTAAAGTTTGTCCAAACATAACCTGTACCCAAACATAATTTCTAAATTTGTCGGAACCCAGCCCAAACCCTCGGGTACCGACAGGTCCCGTTAGGCTTGGTTTGGGTATCCGCACTCTAATCAGATGTGCTAAAGTTGGCAACTAGACTTGTTTCAGGTCTTGAAGATGTGTCACCTCTCGTCCGAGATGCTTGTTCAGTTCTGACTAGTGGGAAGTCTCATGTATTTAACATCTGTGAAGTTGTTAACACACTGGGGACTGTTGAAGTCAATTGTGGGTCATTACCTCACTCGCCATCATGTGGATTATTAGGATCACATGAGTTCAGGTGTGGATGGGTGTTAAATTTGCCCGGGGACACATGTCAGGATGTAAGTGGATAATAAACACCCTTTGTTTAGTGATGGTGAACAAGTAATTTCTGTAGTCTGGAAAATGTCTAAACATTCTTTACTACAACTGCACCAGTCAAAGGGTGTTCAGCCTAAAACATGGAGGTTCTCATTCACCCAGCTATGGTATATCCTAGTGTTAAATCCATCAATGAATTGAGGGCGTGGTCTATGACGCCACTTAATCTCCAGTTATTGGCCAGTCAGAAGTGAAGAAGTTTTAAAATACAATAAAAACTGAGATTAAGTTTTTGTATTAGCAACAGTACGACTTATTAACAATGAAATCCCATATTTGTCCATCCCTACTTTGTTTGCTATTTTGCAGTTCCTTGTTTATTGACAGGTTTATTAATTCCTGCAACTGTTCATGGTGTAAACATAGGCTAATGAAAGAGTACAAGGCTCAGCCGTCTACACGTGAACTCAGCTGCAGTTCCTCGTACCTGCAGGTAGATGGCTGCTTCTTGGTAGTTCATCTCCCAGCTTTGCCGTAAGGACACATTTGGGGCTCTGTAGTTCTGTGGCACAGATGTTGAGACCACACTGTTGTTCACTGTGTCATAATTGCCTCCTCCTCCATCTGGAAGAAAACATTTAAGGGTTAATGTATTGATACACCCCTTATTTATTCAGAAAAGCACAACAAATGGAAACTAAAATGATCTTGTCTTTTTACTTCACTCTTTCATACACAGCACATAAAGGGGTATGTGCCCACCAGTACAGTCTAGTTCTAACTGTAAGGCAAAGGAGGAGATCACTACTGGACTCTCATTACAAGTCTGATCTACATGGAAACCAGATGCCTGGACGTATAAGCACTCCATTGATCCACTTGGATTTGTCTGTTACACTCCCTGAAGTCCACTGCACAAGTGTATGTCTTTGTGTGTCATTCCAGCATCCACACACATCTGGAGATACAGATGGTCCAACATTCCACTCATGTCTAATGCAAAGTCCATAAACACAGTGACAAGTAGAGTCCGGATGAGAGACCTCACAGATCCAGAAATAGCCAGGCTGCAAGATTAAAGTGACACAAGAGACAGAACACCTTTCAAAACAATTTACAGTACTTGCTTTATTCAGTACTTCTTTGCCAATCAACTACTTATTTTGGAAAAAGCATCTAAGTTCAGTCAACCTGATGAGAACCAAATGTCACCAGTAAACAGTGACAGGTGACTTAAACACTAGCCTCCTGCCTTAACAGTGGAATTTGAACTTTAAACTCAGCATTGCCAGTCAGTTGCCTATAATGTCTACTTCCTGCTTTAGACAGGACACAGACATGAGACAGACCAGATCACAAGAGGAACTAATCACGTGTTACAAGATGGAGAGCGACTCACTTCAATAGACAGGGAAGACATATAGAGATCTATTAACACTGAGACAGCTGCATGTCATTTTAGGACATAACACAGAATTAGACAATGACAACCTCTCATAATCTCTCCTAAATATATATCGCAGTCCTGGAGTAAAGCAGCATGTGTGTTGCTGCAGTTGTTTATTTTAGCCTTGCGTGAGTTTATCTGGGTGCCCTTCCAAAACGCTACACATCAGATGTTTCTACTTCAGGCACCAACTCCTTGGAATAAAACTTGCTGGAGGCAGTATAAGTCTTAGAAACAGACATTTCCTGTCCATGACAGTACCAGAATGAACTGAAGTGTGAAGACCAAATTCCAGTCCAGCAGCAGCCTGACTGTTATCCTGACAGGATACTTGCACTGTCTGTCGTGCACAATTCCAGTCCTTTATTTAACAATAACATGGAGAAAACCTTTTTTTTGCAGGAAAAATAAAATCTAGTCTTGTGGTGATTTGGAAGGTCCTAACAACCAGCAACAAAACTAAACTTAAATCTAAGCATGTCATTTGTCACTGAGGTGACACAATGCAGTCTCCTTTCCTAGTGTTCCTCTCTTTCCAGAAAGCTCCAACAGCAATCAGCAATAACAGTATACTTCTTTGTCCAGTCTCAAATGTCCTGAAAAAAAATCTCTTCCTGTTCACCTCCAGAGCCAGAGAAAATGATCTAATAAGCTCCCGCACACAGACACACAATACCAACAGGCAACAGACATGCAAGCTGCACATGAGCAACAGGGAGGGGCTGAGGGGTGCAAGATGTGCTGAGGAAGCACTTTCTCAGATGGGTCATTTTCTACCTTATATGTGAGGAATACAAAGGCAGCCGCATTATGATGCAGAGTGGTCACATGGATACCCACACATACTGTACAAACACACGTGACCTCAGAGCCTGGAAGACAGACACTTCTTTTTGGTTTGTTTGTCTGTTTTGTCCATTAAAACAGTGTGGCCTGGACTCTCAACATCTGTCAGCAGCTGACTCATGTCAACATGAAATGGCTTCAGGCTGCACCAGTGCAAATCTGGTAAGTAGATGAGTGTCAACTTCATATCTACTATAATAGCATACAATATATAGAAAACTACTAAATACTCTTTCATAAACAACACTACACTATACATACAAAACCAAAGTTGTTACCACCAATGTGTTAACCACCAAATCTGGTTGATTTGGTAGACACCTAACTTAAAGTAAATTTCTGTTTAAACTGTTTGGAGAGGTGCTGATTCAACTTTAGGTCATTTTGGAGGCTGTGGTTTATGGTGATAGTAAATCTAATATTTAGTAATCCTATTTATATCAACTAAAAATGAGTTTATAGACTAAAAATGGAAAACCTTTGTGTAACACAATGCAACAGCACAAACAATACATCATCCAAAATGGCCATTAAATTATCAACACCTCTAAAGTAGTTTCAGCAAAAAAAACAAACAGGAACATTACACCGTCCAGGAAGGCTATGGTTGCTGCATTAGCTGTATGGCAACCAAATCTTTTTCAACAGTGTTTGCTTTACAGTGGCAACACCTCCATTTCCATGGCCATGGTTCTAGCCACTAGAGCTTATACTGTACAAATCTACTGTGGCTCAGGATGGGGACAGCACAGTAAAACTTACTTTCATCTCCTCTCTCAGTCTCCTCGTTGAACAGACCGCTGTTTGCTTCATCCCACGTTAAGATGAGAGGAACATCGTCGTCAGACTCCATATTAGTAAACAAACAGGCTGCAACCAGCCTCGATTTACTAACGTTTAGCTGAAATTAATCTAATCTTTGCTCTCTCTAAATAGATGAACGGTTTGTTCTGCAAACAGCAAGATAACTGCACATCCCGGATGCCCACAGCTAACGCTAACTGCTAGCTAACTGACAAAGTAGGATACTTTTTTACGCGGTGCTAAGTGATGATAGGTAACCATACATTCAGATATCTCTGCTGAGAAATGTAACAGAGGAACTAGTAGCTATAAAGCTGTTGTGAAGGGGTAGAGCCACTAGATCGCAGATATGGTCTTTGCTCCGTCACAGATGACATTTCTCAACGAATCAATCGTTTCACTGTCACTCGGGCGAACAAGCTGAGTCTCCAAAACGGCATCATCATCGCAACTAAGGCTTTCTGCTGGATAACATATCGTTCATGTTCTGGTAACATGTTTCAGATACAAAAGTACACCAGCTTTATATTTAAGTTAATTCTTTCTGCAACTCCTGACATTTACTAACGATACTACAAAAGTATACAGGTACTATCAACAAACTTTTGCGACACTAAAGCAATTCGCGGCAAGCCGAGTTTCGCCAAATTTTCAAAATAAAAGTCAATGGAGTCAAAACCATAGGCTACTCTAAAAACAATTTGTGGCAAGGCATCGTGTTCACTTATTTGTTCGTTCATTTATACAATAAGATTAAGTGTGGATACAATTATTTTCTGCATCCTAAGCTATCAGCCCCGGTATTTTAAACTGTCTCCCGCGTTGGTGGTATCTTAGCAACAGAGAACTAGACGTCAACGATACGTTCTGCTTGCGACTAAAACAAGAGTCAACAGGTATGTAAGCTTAGTGCCTATATAACGCATATAAAGTAAAACACGTTAAAATCCGCGAAAAATTAGGAACATTTGCAGTTATAGAAGAAATAGGAGAAATACTCAGATTTTTTTATGTAAAAATGGTACCGGTGGACGACCCACAATGATCGCAAAATACAACAACGTTAAAGATCCCATCCCTCAAACAACACGATTCCAAAATAGGCTACTCTACTTTGAATAATAATTTGTGTCATATGGTTTTTCCATAACGTGCAATTACCTGGTTAGAAAGTCTTAAAATTATATCCACACCTCAGCCATCATGAAAAAAATGTCTGACAATTTATTCCAAAAGTTTAACCACTGGATGTAAGTGCAGGCTTCAAGTTTCCAAATTTACACTTGTGCAGCCCTTTAAGCATAAATCGTTCTGTAAAGTGCAAGTCAGACTTCCAGGAGAAGTAACACCAAGTACCGACCAATATTTTTGTTGGAGGCTTTAATATTGCAGATTTTCTTCCAATATTTGCTGTTATGTGTAGTTTTATCTCTTCAGGCCACATTACTTCAAAAACCAAAACCATTTATAAGGAAGTACTAACTATATTGAAAAATGAACTAACAAAGTAACTAGGAAACGTATTGTAATGTAAGCCAGTATAGATAAACTGTTTATATATACACAAGTATAAACATTTTTTTTTAATGTGTGGCTTATGTTATCCCTCCCATTCAGTATGGCTGCAGAAAGGACAACCAAGCTGCCTCGGGCCCATAAAGCATCACAGAAGCTGCCGTTATCTGCTGAGGCTCAACGCATCTCAAGAGTATTAGAAAATCATATCGATCAGGTTGAGATTGCACTGAGTCTGCCTGCTTTCCTCTCATCTAACATTGTGCCTAGTGATGACAAGGAATTTAAAAATGCACTTCGAAAGCATCAACTATTAGAAGAAAGAGCACAGAAATTAGAAGGCCTCAAGCAGGAGTCAGATGAAGAAGTTGAAGCAAGGGCACAGTTGGGAAAGGACATCAAGAACTCTTTTAGGGACTTGCTAAGGCTTTTCCGAGCTCATCCATCGGCAATTTCTGATCTGAGGGCAGTGGTGAGTTTGGATGAAGAGAGGAGTGAGTACAAGCTACTCAGAGGACTTAAGACTTTTCACAGCAATATCGTAGACGATTTGCTGACCAGTCCAGAAGAGGAGCTACAGCTAAACCAAAGAATGTTTGCATCTCCTTCCCCTACTGATCAACTAAAGGAGTTGGATTCAATGGAAGAAGCAGCGTCAACATCCATAAAGCAATGCGATACAAAGGTAAGGCACCAACTTTAATGTTGAAAAAGAAACTTTCAAGTGTCTACTCCACCACAACACTGTCAGGAAAGTTACTTTAAGAGGACCCAAATGCAGAACACCAGGAGGTGAATAAGTAAAAGTGATGTTTACTGTCAAACTGAGCATCAGGAATTAATAATTCAGCTGACTGAGAATGGAAGGTAGTAGTGAGGAATGATCTGGTTTCTCAACATGATGACATCAAAACACCGCAGTCACCTGGCCTCTCCTACAGAGAGCAGAAGCAGGGGTAGTACTACTCATTCATTCTCAGCTACAGAGAACTTCAACAAGATGACACGTGTGCACTCTTCTTGTTTTGTGGGTAAACAGGGAGTAATGGCAGCAGAGACCAAACAGGTAAGATGGCAGTGGATTACAGGCGAGTTGATAAGGCTAGTATAACAGGTTAGATGATGATTTCTCTCCACAGATAGCCGATGGCATAGCTCAAGTGAGTTTAGTGGTGGTTTCTCTCCAAGGGTAGCAGGTGAGTATAATGATAAACTGTAGAAAAGACAGGCACACAGCAGAAGGAGGACAGGTAAGTATGTTTCCAAGGTAAGTAGAAAAACTGTTTCAGCATGTGCATGCACAAAAAAACAAAACAAAAAAACCCAAACTCAGTATAATATTGTATAATACACTCCAATAAACCTTTCAGGTAGGCACTAAGATCCAAATCTAGAGTTCAGGGACAGAATCCAAATCCTGAGTAAAAGATGGAATCCAACTTGAGTAGACAGAATCCAAATCTGACAAAGACCAGAGAACAGAGTCATGACAGACACAGCTACAAAAGAAGAGAAAAAGATCTACACTTTAAGCCAATATATTTTCTGCACTTGACATCTTTCCGTCTTACCTGTCCTATCTTTCTGTTTGGATCACAGATTTTGCAGAAACAAATGGAGATTAACAATTTGCAGCATTCTCTGCAAGAGAACAGCCCACAAGTGAATATGCCACTTCCCACAGAAAAGCAATCTCCACCACATATCAAGACATCGAAAAAACAAGAAAAGCTGCAACAGGAAATTGATCAACTGACCATTCAGCTCAATAGTTTGATGTCTGAAAACAGACAGGCAGAGAGAATACTCCAAGAGGTTAGTTTAGTATATGCAACATCTCACAGTAAGCTGTTTGTATTTTAGTGGTGGTAACATCTTTAGTTTTCATCAAAACTCATGTCAGCTTTTTCTGTTTTTCTTCCTTGGCAGGAAAATGCAAAGGTGGAGACTGCAATTGAACACTTGCTCCAGAATTTTGATAGAACAATGGAAGAAAAGCAGGTACAACCTCAGACACCACAAAGTGCCAAAAGTTACTGGCAAATAATAATTAAGTGTGTACAACCTGGATACTAGTTAACATGCCTGTTCAAGATGTTTCATGTTTGTGTACGTATGTGTTCTTAACCTAGAAAATAATCTCAACATGGTCCATTTACTAGCCTTTCCCAGAGCCTTCAACCACACTTCAGTCTTCATCAGTTGATGTAGCTCAATCAGTTCTTCTGCTGATTATTTTGTCAAACTATATTAAAGATGTTGCTGTAAAATATTCCTATATGGATACAATTAATATCACCATGCTACTTTCATGTCATTTGAGCATTTATATCTGCTTACTAAACAGATGATCCTTATCAAGGTTTTATAATGCTGATTTATGAAATGACCATGGGGCCTATCTATAGTCAGTGAGAATTTTTTTTTATCACATTTTTGATTCATCACCTTATTTCCTTTTTTCCTTCACTGCCCACCACCATCTTTCCCTCTGCTCCGTCCACCCCTCAACACCATAACTGCCACTATTACCTGACTCAGGCCATCCTGGAGCAGAATGAAACTGATTATGAAAGGGAGAAGGAGGAGCTGAAGAACCTGGAGAAATGCTCTTCTGTCCTCAAAGTGGAGTACGAACAGATCCTGGAGAGGCGTCGGCTGGCAGAAGAGAAGAGAATGGTGGAGATGAGAGAGCTGGAGTTGAAGACCAAAGCTGCTATTTTCGCCCAAGCCTGGTGGAGAGGCTACAGTGTTCGCAAGGCTTTAAAGAACAAAGACAAAAACAAGAAGGCCATAAAAGGCAAAGGCAGGAAGAAATAAAACACTGACTAGACAAAGGCAAAAGCAAAGGCAAAGGCAGGAAGAAATAAAACACTGACTAGCTCTGCAATGACACGCCATCTACCTGTAGAGCATGAATGTTTTTGAATGATTTATAAATAGGAGCCTGCCCCCAGAGTCATGCTGGACATTTATGAATTGCTTTTCCATAAAGTCTTTCATGTTTTAAATTAGTATTTAGCATTTATGCGAACTACAGATTGTAAATTGCTTAATGAGCAACATTCAATATTTGGATAAAAAATAAACTAATAAATGATGAAACAGCAGCAAATAATTACATATACAATAGGTTTTAAAATCAATGAACATTCACACAGGTGTATCTGTGAACTTTGCACCTAGTACAGGTGAACGACTTGTTGGATGGAGTTTAATAATCTCAGGAGATTCTTTGTATTACTTTACTAAAAACAAGTCTAATCAGCCAAAGTCAAGTCCTAAAAAGGACTGATTCATTATGTGTAGGAGTCGTCGATTTACTTACTGACCACAGGGTGGCAGTACAGGCCCTTGTGTTCAGCATGATCAGTAATTACTTCACTTACAAGTCACATGGTAGTTGTACATCAATAGTAGTACAACTTATCCGATGATGCTACTAGATATATAGTATTTAACAAGGTAAAAGAAGTCCACTAAAATTTATAGTTACTACTATTAGAACTGGTTAACCTCTTATAATGAAGCCCTGTTAATTACAGCACGGAGCTAGATTATCATTGATCACTTACTAAACTCGTTAATTCAAGTATATTAAACTTTCGAAGGTTATTGACATGCCTCTCAGCATGCACTATATTTAGATCAAAGGAGATCTTTGGTTATCTACATAGATTTTTATTTAAAATGAAAACAGTCATAATTAAGGCACATACTCTCTTCTGGAAAAAAGATTTTTTTACACCCTACTCTCACACCTCTTCATTACAAACATAGTAAATATGCTGAGATTGCAATGCAGATCCTTCTAGAGATTCCTACTACAATGACTGACCAGTTGTTGAATTCACTCAGTGTCTTAAATTTTATTAAGTTCATTGCTTTTAAGTTAAAACTGAAACATTTTAATGTTGATTACGGTGAGTTTCAATGCGCTTTTTGGTGTGTGTCTTATCCTGTCCTCTACTGGGTCTCTGCCAGGAAGTCTGATGTTGTTTCAGTATGTCTTCATGGTCTTGTATAAAGTTTCGGATCTAAGGAAACAGTATGAAACATTATGCTATAATGATCATTTTCCATTTTCTATTACTGCTCTTATCTCTGTCAGGGTACATACTGTACCTTGTCCAGCTGTTTCTCTGTGTCATTCATATCCACACCTTCCTGTCCCTCTAAAAGGCCACCTGTCTTTTTGTAGATGTCGAGGGTCCACATCTTAATCTGTCCCAGGAGAGTTTTCTTTACAGCAGTTTGCTGAATGTGGTTCCACTTCCTTTCCTGTATGAAGACGGGCATAACTGAATTTCATACAGAAGACAATAGTTCAGTCCTAAAGCAACATGCTCAGCTGCCAGACTTTGACCTGGGATTGTATCTGCTAGGCCTACCCATGTAAAAACTTCACAGTACATCTGCTCAAGCTCGGTCTGGAGCTGGGTCTGCTTTTTGACCGTTCGCAGCTGCAGCATGCGGCGCTGGTCTTGCAGTGTCACCAGTGCTTTCCTCAGTTGGTCGGCCTGCTCCTGCGACTCACTCTCCCTCTGATGGAGCTGGTCTCTAAAGTGGCGCAGATGTTCCACATAACCCACGAATGACTCCACATCCTCAAACTGTAACACAGATGCACATTAAATGTGTAACCCCAAAATTCAACTTCACTATCTCCTCAAAACATGTCAGGGTTTTCCAACGTGTTTAAAGGCAAGGGCAGGCCACCAGGTGACATGTTCACTGGTCTTATGAACTTTCAAAAAAGCCTTCGACATACATAAACAATTATAGATTTAATTCTCTGCCATGTAAAAATCCTTGCAGTACCTTAGCCAGTTTTGCCGCCTGCTCCACATTGTCCTTGTACACAGAATGTTTCTGCACTTGACAGTCTATCTTGTGTTTCTTCTCTGTCAGTTGAGCAAGCTCCTCTTTTAGCTCCTTTATCTCTGCCTCCTTTTGACGCCTTTCTTCCCTTTGCCTCTCAACAAGTTCATTAGGCTCTTCAGTCTACACAGAAGGAGAAAGGGGAATTTTAGTTGGTTAGTTCTGTTGCCACCCAGTTCCGGCACGGAAATTTAAATACAACAGGTGTAGTCTTTCTTATACAGGAGTTGTGTGATATGGTCCTGTTTTGTACCTTGAGATACGTATCAAAGCCTAAGAGTAACTCCTGCTTTTTCTGAATATCCTTGTCCAACTCAGTTTTGTTTTGTCGCAAACTCCCCAACACCTACATAAAAAACACACAGCAGCCAAAAGTTAGATTACTTAGGAATATATCGGTGGTCCTTTTGTTAGATTACTTAGGAATATATCGGTGGGCTATATGACAGTCAGGATAGGGAGAATTTACGTAAAGTAACTTCAAGGTGTGACTGACAGAGGTGTCATCGAGAGCCTTGGGCCTAAATAACATGCATATCTTAGTATTTTTGCTCATCGTTTAATAAAGTGGTGAGGGGTAAAACGCACCTGTTTGTGCTCCTCGCACAGTGATGTAAGTTCTTCCAACTGTTCTTCTTTAATCTGTATTTCATATAAGGAAGCAGTCTTCTCAGGTTCTCCTGCCATCAACAACATCCTGTTCACGCACAAGCACAGCAGAAAGTTATTAACACTGATCAGTCAGAGAGAATCTGGCAGGGGGGCTCCACATAAACTCACTGTGAAGTTTGCTTTTCCAGGGTGGGCTTACAAGCCATGATTGGAGACAACAGCCACAGTTCTCAGGTATAAATTTGTCCTGCCGGTTAAAAATGTTTCAAACGTCCCTCTCCTCGTTTCTATGGTAACATAAACCAGGCATTTTGAAGGCACATTCCAGTGTGTTTTAAAATCTGTTCCCCTGTCAAAGAAAAACATCTCCATCAACAACAGATCTCCATCATTTCCCTTTTTCAAATAGCATGGACCTTAATGCAGTGGCCCCTGAAATATGAGTTTCGGACATGTGATTGACAGGAATCACCATAGACAGATGTGTCTGTCTTTCCATTTTAAGCATAAAAATTACACTTAATATCACACCTTTCAGCTACTGATGCTTTAACAATGCTGGACAGTGCACACAAGCCTGTGATTACACACCAGGCACCTCACCTGACAGACACAGGCACACATGGCGACACTTTGCTGCAAACATAACAGAAGCAAGATCAGCTGTGTGAAATTTCTGTGGCTACTTCAGATCAGAAGATGTAGGTCTAATTTATGTAAAGATTTATTGGAGTCAGACAAGTTGTTGACATACTGAAACATGTTTGGAAATAAAACCCCACTCACCTGTCAGTGGATCAGTCACTACAAACTCAAGCTACACAGCTAAACAAGTATTTTTGCCTGCTTTGACAGGAGACTGGAGATGTGGGATTAGGAAGAGATGACATGTCCATATGGACCTATTGTTGGATGCATCATAAACCACTACTGTAGGTCACAACCACAACCAAAATGAGCAGAAATGTGCAATTCTAGTTCACAAATATTTGCACTGATACCAAATATGTCAGGTAAAAATCAGGAAAAATCTGTAGAAAATTATACAAAAATGATCTAATGCATTCAAAACATGGCCACAATCCTGGACTTAAGATGCATTTTTGGGTCACATGTATGAATGAATATATTACAGGTTGTATAGTTTATAAAAGTCCCCAAAGACACAGGTATTGAGATCTGAGCTTGAGACATGGTTCGTTCTTAACACAGGTCATGATCAAAAAGCTACAGAACAGCTACTGAAAGCAGCTACAATACTAAATGACCCTGTGGTGGTGTGTCAGTGGTCCAGGACAAACTTTGAACCGGGGCCAATATGGAAAAGACATGTAATATTCATCACCCACATATTCAAGTCTTATTTCACACCTAAAATATCATCAAATACTTGTTACCACCTTTAAGCCAGAGCTGTATAGAACTGAATTTATGGTAATTTGACATTACATGTTCATACTGAGATCACCGTGCCTCATAGTGACAGAGGAAAGTGGCATTTGCACTCTTAATGGAAATGCCAGGTGTGGAAAATACTGTATGTTGATGCTTACAGTGACAGGAGCAGAACCAGGAAAATACGTCTGATGAACATACAACCAAGAAGGGGGGAGAAAGGAGGAGAAAAGGCATGACCAAAAGGCAGTGAGGGAGAAAAGCACAGAGCTGTGGGCAGGGATGCAGCTATATGCATTTTTGATGAGTGGATGGCTTTCTGCACAAACAATACTTTATTAATACTGATGGAGTGATGTTAGGCTGATCTCATGGAGACTTCACAGCCATGTAAACAGCAGACCTTTTAGCAGGTGAGGAGGATGAGGAGAAAAAGGTGTTTAGAATCTACAGTGGCAGGTGCAAAGCCTGTGAGGACAGTCACCAATGTCATTACATCCAATGGAAAGTGATACTGTATTTCTGCATCATTTATACAAACTTTTCAATGTTTTAGCATTCATAAGAGTTATGTTAAAAACCAGTCTGTCTTGAATCATTTTTAAATCGAGGTTTTGTGGGTTTGAACAGTGTTTATCTACATGACAAGGATGCAGTGACAGAATGGGCCTCCAACTTAACAATGGTTGGAGTTGAATGTAAATATTCTCACCATCTTATGACTGAGGTTTAACTAGCTGGTGGGCAGGAACAGAAAAGGCCTTTTCTGTCATCTGTTTGGAGCAGTAATGGATCATGAAGCTACTCTTAACCATGTTCACTGTAGTGTCTGAATGTGTAATTGTCTAAGGATTATGGGATTCTCTAGTCATTTCACATAACTGTGTATCAAGTCATTTGTTGTGCAACTGCTCTTTCATTTTTAAATGTTATATCACATGACAATGAACCAGTTTTACTATGTGGTCACACAACCTGACAGTGTGTATATAAAGTGTAAATATTAATTGTTTGCCTATCTGCCACTATGATTAACACAACCAGGTTGTGTGCATCCTTTGCTGAAGTGTATTTCTCACCATGTTATCTAGACTTTCAGAGTTTGTGACTGATGTTTCTTCATACAGTATGGTGACTGTTTGCTCTGTGTTCCATTAGTAGGCCCATGATGCTTTGTGAGAACTCGCATACAGTAATGTCATGTATCTGTTGTCTTGGCTCCCATGTTCGGCACTGTTTTGTTAATGTGTTACTTTGTTTCAGTAAAAATAAAAAGAACTCACATACAGAAAGTCTTTTAAAATGTTTTTTCAAGCAGTTTAGCCAGTTCACTTTCTACTGCCTGCATATTCTGCTCAAATGTCCCGTTTCTCTAATTTATATTTACTCTTAAGCACTTTACTCAGAGGACTGCTTTTATAATATGGCTTTAATGGTCGTTTCTTTTCTTCTTCTTCTCTGGGCTGGTAAAAAATTATATTTTAGGACATATTTCATTCTTGAACATGTTTATTCTTGTTCTCATTTTCAAGCCTGGGTTAAAATTCCTAAAGTAAAAAAGCAGGAGTCCAACCTAAAATCAGTAAAAGTCAGAACCATACTTGCCTATCCTTTACTCTACCCTTAACCTAATCGTAACTTCACCCTAACCATGAACTAAGTCCTCACTCTATAATGCAGTGATTTACGTTTTGGGGACTTGCTGTTTTTACTCCATAAGGACATCAAGTCCCCATAGTGTGACTGTATAAAGATTGAAGTGCCCACAACATAGGTAATACCAGACCACACACACATTTGAGTGGACAGGTAACAATTAGACATCCATAATTAAAGATCAACTGCCTGGTGCAAATACATATTGAGAGGAAGTCTGTGTTTATGCTAATGTCTTGTCAGACAGAGAGGCCAGCGATTCTCTGACACCATCTATTAGTAATGAGACCAGCTAGCAGAGATGCACTGGGTATGAACCAAACAATGCTGCATGTGGCAAACAATGGGATGTGACAGCAGGCTGAGTGGGTGCTATGAAATCAGGCTGCAAGTGCATGCAGGGTTTGGAGGATGTGGGGTGTGTGAATAGATTTGTTTGCTTATTGATGTTTGTGTTTTGTGTTTGTCTCACAGCAGTGGACTGGTCTGGCCTGTTTGCAAACATCCTTGTTCACAAGTGGCGACAAGCAAGAATGTGCAGGAAACTAAAATGCAGGGAGGAAAGAGAAGTCTGCCAGGAGATGCTGGGGTACACGATAACACTACAAAGAGCCAAAGTGAACATATCCAATCTACTGTATATGACCTTTGAATTCAAATGTGTATTTTTTACAGATTCAAAAAAATATTTTTTTAGCTTGTACATCTGATAAACTAATCAAATAAGACAGTGGTCCCCAACATGGGGTCAGGATCAATCAAAAAAGATCAACTTACACAAAATTGAGTGGTACGCTCACTTTTCATGGAGCAACATCATCAGGTCAAAATGTCGATTTGTCCAGTAGCCTGCTTTGGCTTACATTCAGTGCAGGTTAGCAAATCTTAGCTAAGAGGCTACATGAAGATGCTGAAGATGATAAATATTACACCTGCCAAATATCATGTTAGCATCGTTATTATGAGCGATTGGACGCCCACACAGTATTCACTCAGTTTGATCTCTGCTTGATTTCCCTACCAACTCTTTAATGTGAGAGTGAACCAGACAAAGTTATGGGGTGCATGGCCAAACAATGAAATCAACTATAAAGTTCCATAAAGCTGGGGGGCAGCTACAGAGTCAGGAACGTTTCTTAAGTTCATCATTTAACTTCCTCATTTTACAATATTCTCTAATACATTTTTTATTATTTAAAAAAAATCTATTATAACTGCTTTAAGGCAATTCATTCATTCAGTCATTCATTTTCTACCGTTTAGTCCCTGAACGGGGTCACGGGGTAAAATAAATCAAAAATAAGAATTCAGTGTTTCCTCATCATAATTTTTCTGACACTGTAGACAATAATTTATGAATAGAAATTAATTAAAACTAAATTAAACTTTGTAGTGTCTGGTCCAAATTTCTGAGGGTGGGGGGTGGGGTTCAAATCTTAGCTTTTGTCTGGCCTGGCCTCATGCACAGTAATGACCTGACAATGTTCCTTTTGTCAAAACTGGGAGACTATAAAGGACCCCAGCCGTTCTGTACAATGAGGAAACAAAGTGCTGCCCTGCTGGTAGTAATATCGTTATGCCGTCTCCTGCAGGGACAATGGGACAGGAGTGAAGTCAGGGCAGATGGAGTGTAGCCTCTTGATTGAATAGGTTTGTGTGTGTCAGAATTTGTGTGTGTTTATGTCTTTCGGCCTTGGCAGGTGTGTGTCTTTAGCTCCAAGAGAGGGTATTCCTGCCTCTCTATCTGTCTGTCTGTGTATGTGTGTGTGGAAGATTAGCGTGCTTCTCCAGTCCTCTGGCTGTAATCAGACAGGACATTGGCTCCATGGCGGCCCACGACCCCCACTACCCCCCACTGGGGGAGCTCCTCTGTCCCTTCCACCCTGTCATGTGTGTTTGGCTGCCAGTCTTAGGACCTCAGTGGTATGTTAGGAGACAAAACAGTTAATGTTGCTCACATCACAGGGTCCCTTTTAAAAAAAAAAAAAACATAGGTTCCACTGCAGAAAGTGACAGGAGACAAAGAGTTTCATTTGGAGCCGATCTTGGGACACGATGGCCATGTGACATGCATTGTGGCGCACTAAGCCAACAGCCAGCCGTGTTTATTTGTTTGAGTCTCCTTCTAAACTTGCACTGTGTTGTTGAACTGGTCTAAAAGTGAGAGTCTAGCATGAGAGATAAAGACAAGGCAGTGCCATCAGTGTGACGGTTCAAAGGTCTTCAGATAAACAGCCATCACTGATCAGGTTAGTCTGAGTCCTCGGATGCTGGACTGGCCTGTCTGCTGTTAGCTTGACCTTTAACCTCTCCCTTTGTCTCTCAGACGTAACATGCAGGACAACCCAAGCACACCCACCCATCCACCTACACACACACACAACTTGGCCTCTTATCCTTGACAGCTGTTATGCTCATATTAAGATCTACTTCAGTGATTTCATGGTTGTTTCAGCCATAAAGTCTCATTTAGGGGGAAATTAGCTTGGGTCTGAGTCTTGTTACTATACTGTGCTTAACAGCATTAGGCCATTCTTGTGGCTTTTAAATAATAGCAAGGATGGATAGTACCATTCAAACAAACCTCCACCATCCTACTTTGTTGCACCATATGTAATGGCCAAGCATTCATTGTTTTACATTATTGTACTGCCATTGTGCTGTCCTCTTAGAGCCATACAGAGCTTACTGATTCCAATTATGGCTGAGTATATTAAAGTAACATATGCCTAAAAAGCAGTTATATGCATCTATCAACCCAGTTTACACTGACGTCCATTATGAACTCAGATACATGCAATTTAATTATTTATTTTTGAACTTTTAAAACATGAAAATTGCATAGATCCAGACTACTATATCTGTACTCTGTGGTACTCCAGTGTAAAAGCTGTTGCCACAGAGACAGAGCACCATCAGACTCATAATCAACTTTGCCAATTACACTCCATCTCAGACCACTTATTCCACACAAAATGGCATCAAATGCCTTTCAGAGTTCTGCAAGCGACTCCAAATACACATTTATGAATTCCAACCAATAGTTCATACTGTTATGAAGTAGGCTTTAAATAAGTCTTTGATAGTTTTTTTAAAGCTTGTTTTGCAAGACAAGTTGCTCTGCATAGCTGTGCAGCAGCTTTAACATAAGCCCTCCTCAGTAACCCTCCCACTTTAGTCACTATACAGAAGTGCAGGCCAAATGAGTGGCATTTGAAAATGTTAGTTTTTTTTTAAGGGGTGTCTTGACCGTGCACATGACACAAAAAGTGTTTATGTGTATGTATATGTCTGTGCTCCGTGTCTGTTAGAAACCATCAGGGCAAGTGAAGGGGTTACTGGTGTGTGTGTGTGTGTGTGTCTGTGTTAAGGCGTGGGGGGTGGGGGTGGGGGGTTTCATGGTGGGGAGATAATGATAAGCACCACTTAAGCTCTTTGATCACAAAGCTTCATCAATCTACTGACTGACCAGTATGTCTGAGAAAGTCCTCCACAGATGGATTAAGATCCTTAACATACACATGCACGCTTGCACACACAAACACACTCTGTGTTTAATATTACTTTACCACTTTACCAAAGCTTTCTTCTCTCAGCTAACTCCCAGTCATACAGAGGTCACCACGGAGCTCTGTAACTGTACAAGTAAGTATGAAGTGATGCAATCCATCTTCATGGCTGGAGGCTCCCCTACCCCAGAGATCTTGTTCTTTCCCATCCCCCTCTTCTCTTGTGCTTGTTCGCTCTGAGTTTGTCTGGAGACAAAGGGTTAAGGAGGAACAGGCCCTCTGAAGAGCTGCCTGCTTAACCTCTGAACTCGTAGTATATGAGAGAGAGAGAACGAGAAAAAGAAAAAGAGAAGGTGAGAGATAGAGGGCTGTCAACTTCTAACAGACATACAACTATGTAATTACATGTAAATACACTAGGTGAGACGTTTAATGAGTTAAGAACCTTTGTGAATAAATACATTTGTGCTGCATCCAGTTGTTTTTATAGAATAAGTATTGTAAACTCTTGCTGGGAGAGACACTGAGACATGAGATGCCAGGAGAGAAGGACGGTGAATGGCTATTTGGAGAGAGGTCTAAGAGGAAGTGGGACCACCAACGCACCCCCACATTTCTTTGTCCTCCATCTCGGCAGACCCCTCCCCTCTCTGGTCAGCAGGTTGTCAGTGAGGGCGTCCAGCTGGTGAAGACTGGAGATGCCAAACAACCTGTCAGAGATAAGAGGAGGTGGACAAGGTATGCACAGCACCCACACCACTGTGAGGGGTTTGATGCTTGAGTGGAAGGCACTGGGACACCTTATATTTGATTAGAGAGCATAGTACACACTGTTACACTTTAAACAATACTCTACATTGCTTGAATGAGTTTGTTGGACACAAACATTTTGGAAAAGGCAGAGGCTACTGTTCTTATCAGGTCCTTCATATTCATACATGCACTGAAACTGATAAACCACACTGCACTTAAAAGAGTTTCCACTCCCAAGGTGCTGAACGTACTTTAAATAACCCACAAGGAATGTTAATAGTTTGTCTCTGCTGTGCTAGCTGTCAAATCACAAAGGAGAACACTACAACCAACTGACTTATGCAAAATTCTCTAAAATTTATTACATTTCTGTGTAGAAATCTGTCTTTATTTTCATAAAACAGAATTTTTTGGTTTATCACAGCAATTTATCATCACTTGGCGATGGAGGGTAAAACCAGAAATAAACCTTCAACAAGAAACAAATAAACAGCAGAGAAACAGCAAACTAATCTTTACAAATGTAGAGTAATAAATACTATTAGCAGGAACAAGCCTATAAAGCACAAATAGTTTTATTTTTACATCTCATTGTCACACATACGTTCTTCTCTCTCTCTCTCTCTCTCACACACACGCACACAATCAAATACATACCAAGGAATGATGAGGACCTACTCTCTGCATACTGAGGGTGTGTAATGTTAGAGCACCTTCTCACATGTTACTGCATGTAAAACACCTGGGCTGATATTTTTTAAAAGTCTTTGTTGCACAAAAATAAACCAAAATCTCAGCTTGCATCTATGTTAAACATTTTTTTTT